CCACCGAGAGGTCCCCGGAGAGCCCCCTTCATGCTCTTCAGCCCTTCTGGGAGCCCCTGTCACTCCCCCTCCCTAGAAAACCTTCCTGTACTTCTCCGGGAGGCCAAGCCGGGCCTAGTACGATTTCAAAGAGCCTCCCAGCATGTGTAGTGCTGCCTACGCTCCATACTTGTCATGATCTATTTATGAGTCTCTGCCACTGGGCTGTGAGCCACTGAGAGCCAGGACTTGCCTTAACTCAGTGTCCCTGACCCACAGCCTCACGCCTGACCCCACCGCCAATGTCAATGCTGTGTTTATGGACTCCAAGTAAGAACCCACACTAGCGAGTGGCCTGGCGTGTTGTACTGATAGAGGTCGAAGATTGGTATCTGCTCTAAAAGACCGAAACCGTCTCTATTTACACTGGGGCGTGTCACCTTAACTTCCTCACATACAATGTAAGCAAGAAAAAAAAAGAAAAACAGAACCAAAAAAACCCTTCCTTGGGGCGACTGGGTGGCTCAATCGGTTAAGCACCTTCCTTCAGCTCAGGTCATGATCCCAGGGTCCGGGGATTGAGCCCTGCACTGGGCTCCCTGCTCAGTAGGGAGCCTGCTCCTCCCTCTCCATCAGCCTCTCCCCCAGCACATGCTCTCTCTCACTCTCAAATAAATAAATAAAATCTTAAAAAAAAAAAACCTTCCTTATCTTTAAAGTCTACATGCAGAGATCATTAGGACTGCATTTATTATTTATTTTCTAGTATTTCATAAAGGACATCTTAATAGGAGTCAAACAATCCTAAAGACACACTAGATGTTTAAAATTCCCAGATGACATCACAAGGTAGGGCTTCACATTAAACATGCACATTTGAGGTTGTTAAGCATTCACTGGCAGGAACTTATCTGTAGTTTCACTTTCTCATCATTTTACACCTGACCCAAGGGTGATTGCACGGAAGCTACATTACACTTGACATGTTGGGGCTCTTGGCAATTGTATTTTGTTTTGTTTTGTTTAGATTTTATTTATTTGACAGAGAGAGTGAGAGAGAGAGCACAAGCAGGGGGAGCAGGAGAGGGAGAAGCAGGCTCCCCAAGGAGCAAGGAACCCTATGCCGAGCTCAATCCCAGGACTCTGGGATCATGACCTGAACTGAAGGCAGATGCTTAACCGACTGAGCCACCCAGGCACCCCAGCAATCGTGTTTTATTGCTGGGCGAAGGGAAAGGACTCTGAACCCCAGGTAATCCAGAGGACAAAAGGGGACTCTGAGCTAGTCTGACCACCTCAACCACAGTTTCGTGACTGAGCACTTGGAAAGTGACATGGCAAGGCTTTGCTCCGCTCCAAGCTCCGGAGAGGCACGAGAGCCACGTTTACTTCTCCAGGTCAAACCACTGTATTTCCTAACGTATCAGCTCCTAGTGTGCACGATCAACCCTGTGGAACAGGTGTTGTTATTATCCCCAATTCCCAGATGGTCCCAGGGAGTTGAGCGCTTTGCCCAAGGAAACTGGGGCTTGTGTCCAGCACAGCCTGCTCCCGAGCCCACTATTTCAGACGCCCTGCAGCCTAACCCCAATTAAACCAGCTGATTAGATCGCTTTCTCACTCTGCACTGTGTTTCTAAAAGTTTCTCACACATCTACCTCATGTATAGAAGTCAAGCAAGGCCCATGTGAAATCTCTGTACTTTGAAATGTTAAAGAACAAAATGCCCACTAAAATTGTGATTATTTAAAGTGGATAGGAGGAGGCCAGAGGTTAAGAAAGGAAGGGCCCTATGACCTGGCAGGTGTCTCGGCGCCTTGAGGCTCTGGCACAATCCTGCCTCCCTGTCTTTGACTAAGCTGTTTCTTTTGCCCCCAAATGCCCTTTTCTCTCTTTCGGCCATCCTTAGAAGCTCAGCTCAACTATTCCCTCTTCAGTGGAGTCTTCCCCAACCCAGCGGCCTCCTGCTCTGTGCTCCCAGAGTTCCTCCCTGTCCCCAAGTGCTCCAGCACCAAGGGCAATGACATCCAGGCCGCTGCACTGGGCACCTTCTCTGCCCCTGGACCCCAAGCGTATTAAGGGAGGGACTGTGAGCAGCGATGAGATACTGTTTCCAGATCTGGAAGCCTGCCAAACCATTTCCCCTAGTTCACACCACCCCTCATATGCATCACATACATCTCACAACTGAGACCTCTACTGTGGGGGTAGTCTTAGCAAGTGGGGTATTCCATCGAGAACTTGGGTGGGATCTACTGGGCACTTAGTTTAAGGGATGGAGTTCTGAAATCAGGGGATGTTTCCAACATGCCCTGGCCTAACTTCCCTTCTTTCTCTTCTCCCAGATAGGAACTGGGAGAAATCTCTGAATGCACATATTCCTTTTTAATCTTTGGAGAGGACATAAGTGATAACCTGTATTCCCTGGGAGACTAGTACGATTTTTCACAATACTGCCCCCTTCACCTCTTTCCTCTTGGAGTAGGAAGATTTATACAATTTGGAGATTCATGTTATCTCTTCATGTTGCCCACTGGTAGGGGAGGGTACATAAATGTCCACATGAGGTCATCCATGCTAAGGTGCCAGAGTACATGGGTCCACACAGGAAGTGTGCAAGTAAGACTCCACACAGCAGGACTGAAACAGCTCTCTTCAGAAAGGCCTCCTTGCAAGATTGGTCCTTGGCTGGCATCTGGGAACTTGGATTTCAGAAGAGTTTCCATCACTCCCTGAGTGATAAGAGTGACTCACTTTGCCCAAACTATTTGTATTAGCAATATAGTTTACGCTCAACACCTGCTTTCCTTCTAGGAGTCTGGAATTCTGGTATGTGGCAGGCAGAGGGTGCCTATGTGACCAGCCCCCAGTAAAAACCTTGGGGACCGAGTCTCTAATGAGCTTCCCTTGTAGACAGCACTTCACACGCGTTGTCACAACTCATTGGTTGGGGGAATTAAGCAAATCCTGTGTGACTCCACTGGGAGAGAACTCTGGAAGTGTGTGCCTGGCTTCCTCTAGACTTTGTCCCACGTGCCTCTCTCTTTGCTGACTTTGCTCTGTATCCTTTTATTGCAATAAATCATAGCTGTGAGTCCTCCCAGCAAATCATCAAACCTAGGAGAGGTCTTAGGGAGCCCTAACACAGGCAGTCTTAAGGTGTTCATGGGGGATAGGGGATGACCCAAGAGCCAAGAAGCCATGGGCTTATAAAAAGAAGACAGGCAGTCATGGAACCTCTAAAGAATGGCATCTCTCAATAAGGGTAAGTAGGATGGGACTTGGGATAATGGGGTGCACTGGGGAGGACACTGTGTGAAATGTTACAGCCAAGAAAACGGAACTAAAGCTATATAATCCTTTGTCGACATTGACGTCTCTGTCCTGGGTTAGAGGTGTTACTTTGCCAGATGCCAAATGATGGCAGACATCATAAATTCACAAGCATTTTCTAAGGTTCCTTGCAATTCCATGTCCTTAGTAGTGGAGTCATCCCAGCACCCAGACAAGCTACAACGTGCACATGGAGAGAGGTGGCCCTGCTGTCAGCAGCACAGGCCTAGCAAAATGTGCGTGCTTGCAAAATGTAGGTGAAGTGACAGAAATACTAAGTAGATATCAGGTCCACATATGTGCCAAATGCTCTTTTTCTTTCTCTTTATGATTTATGTAGTCTTCAAAATTAAGAAACATACTAGTCAGTGAGAGACTGTGTTCTACATTACAGATGAATTAATTTCATTTATTTTTTGAAGATTTTAATTTTACTTCTTTTTGAGAGAGAGAGAGAGAGTGGGGGAGAGGCAGACTCCACGCCCACCTCGGAGGCTGTCACGGAGCCATGGGGCTCTATCTCACGACCCTGAGATCATGACCTGAGCTGAAATCAAGAGTTGGATGCTTAACCAACTGAGCCCACCAGGTACCCCTGAATCTTAAGGATCCTTAAAAGGATAGTAATGATATTCAAGAACAAGGACCACGTATGATCATGGACACAAGTATTTCTTTTCGATTTAGAAAGCCCTGTCTCAACATCACCTCATTTGATCCTCCTAACGACTCTACAAGATAGATAATACGACTTTTCTTTCATCTTCCACGTCTCCCGGTCCGTTACAAGCAAGCGGTGATTAAGACTTAATGGTTGACTGATTTGTAATGGCTTTAGAAAAATTACTGCTTTATAAAAACTAATAATTCCTGAAGTCTGTCAGTGGAAGAACAGGCTAAAAAGCAATCCAGGCATTCAGAGGAATTATTAAGATCACAAATTAAGTCGTTTCTATGGACTCTATAGCAGGAAATATATTTTTAATGAGGAAATTGAAGCTAATATGGAACAGCTGTCCTGTTGCCCAGTAACAGAATATTAAGGCAGATTAAATTAATGAAAAATAGAGCAACTTGGAAATTTAACCTTTGAACATTCTCTTATTCCTTTCTCCTTTAGATACTCTTTAAACTGATATATTTTTTTAAAAACCACAGATGGTCATCTTATGTAGTTCCCATTTATAATTCGCTTTGCTACTGATTAGCTATGGAACCTTCAGCAAGTTATTCACTCTCAGGCTTTTTCATCATACAATATCCAAAGTGCTCACGCCCAGAATGGCAGGACGGTGACTGGAATGTATGGGTGCTGGTCAAACCTCCGCCAACTCCCACGTCTTGGGCACCGCCACCTTCGGCCCTAAACTGGCCAAACTGCCCTTGACCCACCGATCCATGCACAAAGAATAAATATTGTTGATACGGTGCCCCTGAGAATATGGAGGTTGTGTGATACGCAGCAAGAGCCGGCTGTCAAGAATTATTCCCAAGTTACTAAAGTCACAACCTTATGAAAAGGAGAAGTATCCATGGAGAACTCACGGAGAGAAGAGAGAGGGAGAGAAGATACACGGGTGCGTTAACACGGCCTAAAGGACCAGGCCCTCGCTGTCTTCCACGTGATGGCAGCGCAGAAAGAGGGGCAACAGCAGCCCCCCGGCCGGCGTGAGGCCGTGTGTACTCACGTTGGTGTTGCATAGCTTGTACTGCCGATAGGCTCCAATGCAGGAGATGGCTGCGGACCGGGCGGGCTGGGAGAAGCTCTGAGCTGCCCTGGGGGCCCCCATGCCGTGGTTGCTGCTGGTTTCCGGGCCCTGGAAGAGACTGGAAGCTGCGGGAAAGCCTTGGTCGTGGGTCAAGGGCCGCTGGTAGAGGGAGGCCTCGGAGGTCTGCAGTCCAGAACGAGGGCCACCGTCACTCTGGTACAGAGGCCCTTGCTGGGGAGCCCGGTGGGCTGGTGGGCCGTAGCCGTGGCTAGGACCGGATGCCACCTGGGCCCTGGAATGCCGGGACGGGGGCCTCTGCCTCCGAAGCCTCTGTGGCAAGTGTGCGGAGTCCGTCTGCAGTGGTAAGATGTACGGGGCCTTCCCGTAGCCATACTTGCCAGGGCCGATGGGACCACGGGTCCTGCTCCTAAAGAAAGACACACAAGCGGAGATGAACTGAGTCACAGGAAGTCCCGTGTTAACCCCGAAGCTGTGGTCCACGATGGAGGGGACAGGGGAGGGACAGAAACTCTGGGACAGAGCCTATGGTGGACCAGGGAGGTAGAGGGAGGGCATTCCAGGAGAAGAGGACGTCATGGAAGCTGGCGCAGAGGGGGCTCCACGGAGGCTGGAAAGTCGAAAGAAGGTGGGCGATGTGAGTAGTGGAAAATGAGGCTGGAACGGTAAGCTGTGGTCAGTATGTGACTGACGGCAGGGCCTTTGGGCCTGTTTGCAGGCTGTAGGGAGCCACTGAGGTTTTTTGAGAAGTATAAGGATATAATTGTAATTTCGGCCACAGTAACTTCCTGTTCCTTTGTTTTCTCTGAAAATAATCTGTGGGGTTTTTTTTCTCACTCAACTGTGCCTGATATTTCAGACTAGTTTCCATTACCATTCATGCCCAAATAGCTTTTCCAGGTAAATGGAATTTAGCTAAGCAACCACACCCTAATGCAGCCCTGAAGCCTGACTTGCTCTCGGTCAAAATTAATCCCCAAAGAAATTAGAGGAGGTCAAACAGTTGGCTATTCATCACTCTTGAGGCAATACACGCTGAATGCTGGGTGAACAGGCATCTTCGTGTTGGTATAATCTTCAGATTTCGTCAAGACCTGTTGCCTTGTGAGACCTTAGAAAAATCACGTAAACTGTTGTGTACTGGTAAATGTTTAATGACTGGTTTTCCGGGGCAGGGTGGGGGGAGATAGCCCTGGTTTGTGGCATTTATCTACATCCAGGGTATAAATGCTTCCACCATGGCCAATCTCAAGCCACCATCGTGAAGACACAACCAGCTCTAGCGAATGATATACAACAGCTCCAGCACACCACAATGCATGTAAATTTATTGTGCGACTACTGTTTACAAAACCCAGAGCTAGGAATGGTCAAGAATATAAAAGTGAGTCAGATATGGTTCCCAAGTCCCCAACCTTACAACAGAAAGCAACCAGAACATGGGGTAATGTGGGGTAAGGGACTTGCGAGCAACTACACACGGTAATTTGGGAATTCTGAGGCAAAAAGAAGCGTCTGTGTCTGCAGGGATGTGAGAAGGGTTTTACTGTCACTGGTCTGAGTTGGGGAGCAAGGTTCCAATACTCCGTGGCAGGACCTGAAGAAATCATTTCTTACTTCTTTGTAAAATGTCTTGAGCTGGATCTAATGACCACGAAGGTCATTCCAGCTCTAAAATTATACGCTTCCATAATAATTAATTCTACATTTATGTAAAATTGGAAATGTGCCCAAGGGTTTCTACAGGATGGCCCCATTAAAATAAGCACATTAAAACAGCAATCAAGGTGAAACATTAATTTCTGTCCTCATGAGGAAATTCTTTCTTCATTCTATGTAACCACTGAATATAAAATTTAACAGACCACAACTAATTATTAACATCTTTATCACTAATTGCACCTTCATTCTTAGCTGATATGGTTTTGAATTAAACTGCGCTGCAGTGTTTATTTTGCCTTGAGGCATTTCTCAATTAATCTTGCCAACACTTGGGACTCTGTTAATGATGGGGGATTCAGTGTGCCGCTTTAAGACACGCAATTAAGAAGTTAGTCTTAAAAACATATATATAACTTGGATGTAATTTGCCTTTTTCTTTCTTGTGGCAGGCCAGGTAAAATGAATGACATCATGTAAAGGCGAGGGAAGGAATTTCTGTATGTGTGTGTGTCTTTTCTTTTTAAGATCTGAAAGCCTACCAAGAATTCTAGCCTCAAAGAAAACGCTGGGTAGAGACGCCAGCTGAAGGTAATAGAGAAATGAGGACACATGGAGCAGTGCTTCTCAAACTTGGATGTGCCCAGGAATCAGCTAGGGATCTTGTTAGAGGCAGATTCTGATTCACTTGGTCTGGGGTGGGGCCTGAGACTCTGCATTTCCAACAAGCTCCCAGGTGCTGCTGGTGCTGCTGGTCCAGAGTCCCACAGCTTTGAGGAGTTGAAATTCCAAACAAAAGGGTAAAATTGCAACCATAAAAGTGATCGTATTTTTAAAAGATTTCTGATTGATTTGAGAGAGTGTGCAAGAGCGGGGCGGGGGTGGGTAGCGGCAGAGAGAGAGGGAGAGAGAAACTCAAGCAGACTCCCAGCAAGGACCTCCATCTCACCACCCTGAGATCATGACCTGTGCCAAAACCAAGAGTCAGACGCTTAACCGACAGCGCCACGCAGGCGCCCCAAGAGTGACCATTTTTAATGGAGAACAACAGCTGTAAAATTTTCTTCTGACATAACAGAAATCTGCCGGCCTGGGCCAGGATGCACTGTTGCATCTCACCTCCCAAGAACTACTGAACCGGGACTGACTTGATCCTGCTCTTGGGGAACATAGGCAGCAGGGGGAGAACCTACTGTTGGCTGATGACTTGGGTAAGCATCTTTCCAAAGACTACCCATCACCCCAAGGAGGTAAACTACGCATGTGCCGATGAACATTTTTGTATCCACGTTACCTTCCAGGAGCCTCGGCCTAAACTGGAGAATCATGCAAAACCCACAGGAACAGCATCACCACTGGAAAGATGATGTTTCAAAAACAAATGAGCAGTTAACTCTGAAAAACAGGCTACCAAGAGTGAGCCGCCAGTCGGGGTGTGATTGTGAGAGATGTGATTTCTGCATCCTTGAATCAGGACGCTGGATCAAAGGGCAGATTCATCCCCACTTGGCCAAGAAAGCATGTGTTTTCCTTACAGCGGGCAGAACTCATCATCCTGACGGTTCAGGATGGCCCCTTCCCCATCAGGACAGGGTCCATCTGGACACTTGCAGGGTGGCCGACATGAACTAGGCAGATTTATGCAGCGTTGGGATAACAAGCACAGATGTGGCCAAGGGAAATTGTGTGGCCAGTTAACCCTTCCAGGGAACATGCGGTAGGTACCTGGCAAGCTGTGAGCTCAGTTAGTTCTATTTGGTCTCCCCATAACCCATCTTTGGGATTTTACTTTGTATTCCTCACTTGCCAAATTTGGGAAACGTAGGTCTTGAGAAAGAAACAGAAAAAAGCCCAGTTTGGACATCAAAGGCCTAGGTGTGAGCACAGCACAGTGGTTAATGACTTGAGCTCTGAAGCCAGGTTTCCTGGGTTGGAATCCGAGCTCTGCCACTTACTAACTTACGCAGCTTTGGGTAAATTACTCCATCTTCTGATGTGTCAGTTTCTTCACACAGGGTCAGAGCTAGGATGAGGCCAGCGAGGCACACAGGATGCAGCACAGAAGGGTCGTGCAGGTGCCGGTGGAATCTCAGAGTGCTGTCTCCTTAAATGTGGTGCCCAAGGACCCCAGCTCTAGGCCCAGTCCTGCCCTGTGTGCACTTATAAACCAGATGATAACAGTACCTTCCTTACCGGTTGTTGTAAAGAATAAATAATAAGAGCAAAAGACTTAAATAATGCCTAGCACAGAGCACGCATCATACAAGTATTTGCTTTAAAGAAAAAAAAGTTCTAACTTGGCAACTTACTAGGCTCTATGAACTTCGGTAAACAATGCACCATCCATTTTCTTACCTATAAAATGAGAGCACACCCACTAGGAGGGCTGTAATAAAGAGGACAGGTAAGAGCAAGTGTTGGAGGCGATGCAGAGAAACGAACCGTCGCACATACCTGGAGGGAATGTAAAATGTGCAGTCACTTTGGAAAGCTATCTGGAAGCTCCTCAGTAAAGGTAAATGCAGTGCTACCACATGACCCAGCAATTCCAGTCTTAGCTACATACCCAAGAGAAAGGAAAACATACGTCCACACAAAAACTTACACGTGAATGTACATAACCGCTTTCTTCACAACAGCTAGGACACAGAAACAACCCATGTCCATCAAGTGATAGATAAGTGGACAAACAAAACAGTGTATCCAAAGAATGGGTTATTATTCAGCCACAAAGGGGACGGAGTACTGAGATATGCTAAAACAGAGATGAACCTCAAAAACATTCTAAGTGAAAGAGGCCAAACACAAAAGGCCACATATCCTACTGACATGCACTAACCAGAAGAGACAAATCCACAGAGAAAGTAGACTACACAATAGCCAAACTATGAAAAGAGCCCAAATGCCCATCGACTGATGAATGAATAAAGAAGAGGGGGTATATACACCAAATGGAATACTACTCAGCCATCAAAAAGAATGAGATCTTGCCATCTGCAATGATGTGGATGGAGCTAGAGAGCGTCATTCTAAGCGAAATAAGTCAGTCAGAGAAACATACCATATGTGGAATTTAAGAAACAAAATGGATGAACATACAGGAGGGGGGAATAAAAGAGAGAGGGAGAGAAATCATGAGAGACTCTTTTTTTTTTTTTTTTGGCGAGGCTCTTTACATGTTTTATTTTATTCAATCATAAGACAATCCTGTAAACACTTTCAATCCCCATCTGGTAAACAAGGGTGGAACAAGGCTTTCTGAGATCAAGGAGCTTGTCCAAGTTCACATAGCTGTAAGGCCCAGGGATGAGATTGACACCTTGGTCTATTTGCCATTAAGTTGCCATTGAAGTTGTACTGCAACATGTAAGACCAGTTACATGATTTGTGAGGCATTCAGTGCAGAATGAAAATGTGGGGCTCTTGTTCCAAAATTATGAAGAATGACAGAACAGTGATAGCGCAATAAACCTAGTGTGAGGCCCTTCTGAACATGGGGCTCTGTGCAAAGTATACCTGTGAACCCAAAATAACCCCACTTGGGAGCCCTATGTTACAGGCAGATTCATATTTCACTTCTTATAGAACATAAATATTTTTATGGGAATAACAAGCATAGTGTCTGAACCCAAACTGGAAGACATTGACTTATAAGAAGTTATAAGAATTATGGAGCTAAATCCAGTTGACCCTTGAACAACACAGGTTTAAAATGTGTGGGTCCATTTATACACAGATTTCTTTTTTTTAATAAATACAGTACTGTAAATGTATTTTCTCTTATGATTTTCTTTTTTAATTTTTTTTTATTCTTATGTTAATCCCCATACATGACATCATTAGTTTTAGATGAAGTGTTCCATGATTCATTGTTTGTGCATAACACCCAGTGCTCCATGCAGAATGTGCCCTCCTCATGAGAGACTCTTAATGATAGAGAACAAACTGATGGTTGATGGAGAGAGGTGGGTGGGGGATGGGCTAGATGGGTGATGGGCATTAAGGAGGACATTTGTTGTGATGAGCCCTTGGTGTTGCATGTAAGTGATGAGCTACTGAACTCTACTCCTAAAACCAATATTGAACCGTATGTCAACTAACTAGAATTTAAATTTAAAAAATAATAATAATTTAAAAAGTAAGATTAGCAGTTGCCAGGGGATTTAGGGAGGAGAAAATAGAGAGTGACAGCTGAAGGGTATGGGGTTTCTTTTTGGGGTGATAGAAATGTTCTGTAATTAGACAGTGGAGATGGTTGCACAGCCTGTGAATATAATAAAAACCACTGAATTATGCACTTCGTTTTTTTATTTTTTTTAAGATTTATTTATCTGTTTTAAAGAGAGAGAGTACTAGAGAAGGGGGAGGGGCAGAGGGAGAGGGAGAGGGAGAAACAGACTACCTGCTGAGCTGGGAGCCTGACACAGAGCTCAATCCCAGGACCCTGAGATCATGACCTGAGCCGAAATCAAGAGTCAGACGCTTAACTGATTGAGCCACCCAGGCGCCCCACTGAATTACACTTTAAATGATTAGTTTTATGGCATATGAATTATATCTCAATAAAGCTGTTACTTTTTAAAGAATTAGACCATGAATAATTCCTGTCTTATCAACTTATAATGATGTTTTAAAGATCAAACTGAGGTTACCAATAGGAATGCACTTTTTGAATCTGAAAGCA